CCTGTCCTGAATTGTCATGGCAATTCTTGTGTATACCTGTTTAGCAAACAACAACTGAGTGCATGTTATTGTTCTAAGTACTAAAGGTTCAGCAAGGAAGAAAACAAACTCCGTGCTCTAATACAGTTTATAAGTAGAAGGAGAAGACAGACAATAACAAACACGATGGCAAAACTTGCTAAGAACAAAGCAGGGTAAGAAATAGACAAACACGGAGGACTATGATTTCAGTTACAGTGGTAAGGGGAAAACAGCTTCTCATGAGAAGACCCTTGAGAAGAGTCCTAAATAAAGGACATGAAGGAGCCAGTCATGTAGGCATGTGGGGAAAGTGTTCCAAGTCAGTATTAGAAACCAGTGCAACGGACTTATTAAGGGTATAGATGTCTGTGTTCAAGGAAAAGAAAGAGGCCAAAGTGACTGGAAAGCAGGTGGAAAGGGGGCTTGATGAGATTAGATGAGAGAGTACACAACACCAAATCATGTAAGACCTCTCTGATCTTACCAGATTGTATTAAGCTGTTTTTCTTTCCCATTAAGAGTCTCAACTCTTATTTGTTGTTGTATTCCTCAGGGACTAGTACTGTTCCTAGCATAAAGTGGACATTCAAATATTTATGGAACAAAATTAGGCTAAAATGTAAATCCAGAAACTCCTCTTTTCAATTCAGTGTCTTCAGCACCTTTTACAATGAAATAAAAGGCTAAACTTATTAGTTGGACAACCATAGTAAGTAGAAGGCTAAGCTAGTGATCATCTATCTGCCCACTAAAACAAACACTGGTGACTGACTCTGTTGTAAGTCTTCTGCTAGATCACAGTGGATATAAAACCTCTTCCATTTCCCTCCTCAAGAATGAAGAGATAAGGAATTCAGTGTTAGAAACTTGGGACAGGAAAGTGTAAAATAAAAGGGAATATGTCAGGAGACTAGTTTCCACTTAATCCACGATAATTCGGTTTCTCTAAAATTTGAGGGAATAGATTCCAGGAAGAATCCAAAAATTCTCCATTGCCTACTAAGCTTGACCAGAGAAGCACTATAAAAAAAGGCAATACTGTAGATCATTAAGTTACGGCTTGCTCTGGGGTTAGGTTCAAATACTGCCTAGTTAAGATGTTTGTATTTCTTTTTTTTGAGTCAGAGTCTCATACTATCACCCAGGCTGGAATGCAGTGGTACTCTCCTGACTACCACAGCCTTGACTTGCTGGACTCAGGCGATCCTTCCGCCCTCAGCCTTCCAAGCTAGAACTACTGGTGTGTGCCACCACACCCTGCTAATTTTTTTATTCATTGTAGAGACAAGGTCTCGCCAAGTTGCCCAGGCTGGTCTCGAACCCCTGGACTCAGGCAATCCTCTCGCTTCTGCCTCCCAAGGTGAGATTTTTTGCATTTCTAATGGTTGCTAAATTTGTGCAGCATACATTGGCACATATATGAGGTCTCTTGCCAAATATTATCAAAAAGCCAAGAGAAGATGTTTAAATGATTTCTAATAATTTAAAAGGTCTAGATATATTGCATCTTTACAAAATTTTGCCATTTATACGATCACATCATATGGCAGTCAAAAGCAACTTGGTACACCCATCCTTTAACCATACATTTTCCAAAATCATCTACATCTGTTAGATTCAGTAACTGCACATTGTTCCTAATGATCAAAACTCATAGCTATTGTTCCCTTCTCAATTAGTATAGTCTTACAAATAAAATATGCGGATATCTATTAACCTAGAAATTGAAAACACAGTAAAAATTTGAACTATAGTCATGTACTTCATAACAATGTTTTGGTCAACAATGGATCACATATATGATGGTGGTCCCATGAGATTACAATATATTTTTACTGAATCTTTTCTATGTTTAGATACACAAATATCATTGTGTTATAACTGCCCACTGTGTTCAGTATAGTAATATGCTGTACAGGTTTATAGCCTAGGAGCAATAGGCTATACCATGTAGCCTAGGCATGTAGTAGTGCTATACCAACTAGGTTTGTGGAAGTATACACTAAGTATACTCTATGATGCTTGCACAACAACAAAACCACCTAATGATATATTTCTCAGAAGGCACTGCATGATTGTATATGTCAAATGAAAAGTGCTAACGGAAACATAAAAGCACAAACGCATGTACTGCATGATTAAAAGTCAACTGTAAATCTGAAAATAATTAGAAATTTTGCTAATTAGCACCAAAAAACTCTGTTCAAAATTACAGACTCCTCTAAACCTGGCAGCCTGTGGAACCACTCTAGACTTTACTGAGTTTGGTTTAGCCAGAAGAGAAGGGTTTTATTTGTATGCTTGTTTTGTTTTAATGTGAATTTGAATACTTTTAAGGGCTACAGATACATTTTGACACAGACCTCACCACTCCCAGAGGTATAACACTGAGTCTCATTTATGTTATTTGTATGACCTTGAAAGTATTTGAATTCACAAACCCTGCAATTGTACATGAAGGTGTTTTAGTCTCTTACGCATATTTTGAAATGACTTTAGAGAACACTGAAGTAACTATAGTCCTGATCCAAGTGCTGTTTTATTCAGTGATATAAACATTACAATAAAATAAACAATAAAATGTTTTTTCTAAGGGCAAACTTAGGTTAATCACTCTAATTTTCAGAGACTTTCTGCAATTCAAAACACTTCAGAAGTCAATTGACTCAATTTTCATCATTTTACAGGAATGTTGACTAGGTCTACAGTGGTAAAGTGACATGTCCAAGGTCACGCTGGATACACAGTTGTTAACTTAGATACAAAAGTGTTTTGAATTTGTTTCCCCCAACCAGACTATGATTTTATTAAAGGGAAAGACTAGTGTTTCTGATTATGTTAAGCCTGTCCTACACTCTGCTTGGTGTCCTGAACTCAGTAAGTATTCAACAAGTAGTACTGAGATTGGCTTACAAGAGATGAACTCAGTTCTTGTTTATAAAAAAACAGTCAGAACCCAGCTAGGATTAAGCAGAAAGAAAAGATTCTTGCTCAACAGCTTGAATGAATGAATGAATGAGACTTTAGTGGGTAGACTTGTAGTTGGTGAGCCAAAGGTACAACAATCAATAGCACTTAGCCTCTTAAATAGACACTGGCCTTAATTAAGTTCTTTTCACATAGAAAAATATAAGTTACTAATCCAGTTCCAGAATGCCCCACTAAGCCAAAATATAACATTTGCCCAAGACAGCAAATAGTCAATTCCTTTTTAAAATAAATCCATCCTCATTTTATCTAAATTTTCAAGATATAGCTCAGACCTAACTTAAATGTTTTCCAAAATAATTCACAAATGTATTACTTCAGCATTTCTTCTACCTTTAGGGAGAATATAAAAACCATAATTCTGCAACATTCTCTTTTCCAAGCACAGCCTACAGCAGGACTCAATGACTTGTAAAACACATGCCCCTGGGTAGCATCCAATAATCTCTGTAAGCCTCCACATTCTGGTGCCAAGCAAGGCTGCAGGAAGCACAGTAGTCCTTAGTTAATGCTTTTTTTTTTTTTCTTTGCTTGTTTCTTAAACTTTCATTAGCAGGATCAAGGCTAATGTGACTGGGGAGGAGGTGATTCTTATCCTTGGACTGAATTCTCCTCTCTCAACTTCTACTCTCAGTCATATCACGTCCCAACTAAATTCAAATGATGGGAAAATGTTTTTGCAACCTTTCCTCCTGCTCTTTCCATTTCTTCTTTATTTCTTTCCCCCTTCCCTTAGTCAGAATATACAAGCTTAAACTTATTCCTCTGTGTGTTCTGTGGGAAAGGAGCAAATGGTAAGGGCGGGGGAAAACTGGTCTGGGTCAGCACTGGGGACAATGGGGAGTGGAGGTTAAGGAAGAGCAGCCACGATCTACAATTCTATTCTGGCTTTCATAATGGTAAGTCTTTCCACACAGGAATGCCAAAATTTTAATAGGACCAAATGGATAACTCTGTATTTAAGGTGTTCTTTCTCTTTTACTGTATAGTGTATCTGTGAGTTAGGGACAGGGAAGCTGTGTCAATTCAGACATTAGAAAAGCTACTAAACTAGAGAGCTCGCACATGCATGGGAACACCTGATGCACTCTGACTTAATACACAAATGTACAACTTGGGCATGTAAAGGCTTTAATGACCCATGGGGCAACCCTTGCCAATGGGGTCAGGAGTCAGTGGATAAATGTTCCCTATCTCAGATACATTCTGTACAGTTTCTTAGATCCTGGCAGTTTTCAATCCAGCTGCCCACAGAGGTGACCAGCTCAGTAACATATCCTTGTAGTAGCTTTCTCTCCTTCCCTGTTTCATTTTCCTCAGCAGCCCACTACTAGTTCCTAAGGATTCCAAGCATAACAGAGAGATCGCAAGGCTGGGAGAACAAGCCTTTTTCAATATGTGGGGCCTGTCCCTTCTTCCAGTGCAAAATCTAATACTTCAAGGATTAGCATGTAGTTCTAGTATCACTGCCCACATGTACGGGGGATAAACCTATATGGCTGGGGTTCCATTACATTTCTTGAAGAGCACCTCTATAATCTGGGACAGGCCAGGTACAGTGGCATGTACATATAGTAACAACTACTCAAGAGGCTGAAGCGGGAGGATCACTTGAGCCCAGGAGCTCAAGTCCAGCCTGGGCAACACAAAGAGACCCTGACTCTTAAAAAAAAAAAAGGAAGAAAGAACTAAAACAAGCAATTTGAAAAGAAAAACCATAGTAAAAACTCCCTATGCTCCCCTCTCCATGAAACTTTGTAAGGATTCAACACTGACTCTTTAAATGGGGTACAGTGTGCCTGAAATGATGGAAATACTAACATGGAGCACCCATAACATATATCTTCTGTATCCATCCCATCCCCAAGGAGAGTTGGGTAGTAAGAATAAAGAATCTTTTGACATCTGTATACTGCTCAATGGTCCAGGAATAGAAATAAGCTGCTAATCATCCTCTAGCTCAGGAAGGCAAATACAAAAGATTTACTCACACATCACTGAATTCCTCCAGAGACCTTGCAGGTGTAAAAACGTCTAACAGACCAATCACCTATAAAAAAAAAAACAAAACATAAAAATTAAATAGTAAATAAATACTGAACTTACTATGGTATCCTTCAGAGGCCTTAATCATGTTTACAGGAACTAATTTCAAATTCAGCTACCTCAGTTCAGTAACATGACATCATAGAACTCCAATTGATTTTCTATACAAATTATTCTTTTGTATCTTACTCGTTATATCAATTCTCATGATGACCTATTTTACCATTAAAAATCTCCATCTCTTTAGAATTTGATCATATATAGCCAATAAGTTTATCAGGAAGCAAAAAAATTTAGAACCTGCCTGACATGTGTACTAATGGTCTAATGAATTAACCAACAGAAAAAAAAAAACTCATACCTCTACAGTTGTTACCACAGTATTCTGTGCTTTTAAAAATATTCATGGAAAATTTCCATGTTAACTGTACAATCTTCAAAACTGACATCGGTAAAGTTCCCAAATATTCTTAGTATATTCTTGATATTATAATTTTCTTAATAATTATAGATATTTAAATCAGACAATTTAAAATTTTTTAAAAAGCCTATCTTTACACAAGGAAAAAGCAAAGAGCTACTTAATACTTGGTAATCCATGGCCTTTGGGCAGTTCTGCTGGTTATAAATTTATACTGGTTTATCCACATATAGCACTCTTCTCCTCTTGCCTTAAAACGCTTTAAGACACAGGCCACTCATTTCTACAAAGTTAGGCATTGAGAAAGCAAATAAAAAATATTATAATTCATTTGTAATACACCCAGCTAGGGTGCCTGGATATGAAATAAGCAAAAGCTAGATGACTCTCATGAAGACTGAACCCATGACTGTGCTCTCACTAGCATACTGCTCTCAACTACCAAGTTAAACACACAGGTCTCAAAGTAAGATATGTTAATGCTCAAAACATTATCATGAGAAAGAGATTATCTAATTAGCATGTTACTCCACTCATTCAAATGTCAGGCTTTTAAAAGTGACTTCAATTATACAGCCTATAGCCAGGCATGGTGGCATGTGCCTGTAGTCCCAGCTATTCAGGAGGCTGAGGGAAAAGAATCACCTGAGCCCAGGAAGTTGAAGCTGTGGTGAGCTGTGACTGTGCCACTGCACTCCAGCCTGGGCGACAGAGTGAGATTTCAACTCCAAAAAAAAAAAAAAAAAATATATATATATATATATATACAGCCTAACCCTGAAAGAAGTTGGGGAGGAGCCTTAGAATTCAAGGAGAACAGCTTCTCAAGTCTTTATAAATTGTTCCCAAGAGACAAAATCACCCTTCAGATCCTTACCCAGAAAACTATATACAAGAAAACGAAAATTACCCATAATTATACCACCTTTTATAATTATTAACACTCTGAGATGTATTTCCTTTTATTTTGCTGCTATAAACTTAAATTGAGGTTACACCGTGAATACAGTTTTATATCCTGCCTTTTCACTAAACATATAATGACTATTCTCACATCTTTAAATATTTTTCAATAATATTTGTATATACCACATCTATCATTTATGTATACCATAATTTAACCAATTTTCTATCTTTAGACATTTAAGAAATATGGTAAAATATATATTTTTGCACATCTCATATTTTCTTTTTTTTTTTTTGAGTTGGAGTCTCACTCTGTCGCCCAGACTGGAGTGCAGTGGCCGCTCCCGACCACCGCAGCCTCGACCTGCTGGCTCCAGCGATCCTTCTGCCTCAGCCTTCCAAGTAGCTGGAACTACAGGCACGCGCTACTACATCCGGCTAATTTTTAAATTATTGTAGAGATGAGGTCTCACCAAGTTGCCCAGTCAGGTCTCGAACCGGCGGGCTCAGGCAATCCACTCACCTCAGCCTCCCAAAGTGCGGGATTACAGGCTGAGCCACTGAGCCTGGCTCACATCTCATATTTTCTTCCAGAAAACTTATTTCAAGAAATAAGATTACAGGATCAAAGGACACCAATATATTTAAAGTTCTTAGTATTGTCAAACTGTCCTCCATAAAGGGGAGGTCAACTTACATTCCCACCAATAGTATATCTGTGACCTCATCCATGGTGACTTCTGAACAGTGCTTTAAATGTAAGCCAAATCCGCTTTCCTTTGCCTTCTCCATCTAAGCCCTAATTGTCTCCCTTGATTGGTACACTCCTGGCTTAAGACCTCTGGTCTTTTAATTACTCTCCCTTACACCTACTTTTACTTAAGGTAGAACTGGCTTCTGGAGATCCAGACGCCAATTTTATACACCTGTTCCAATATTTTCTAATCACTGATTCTTGTTATCTAAGATGTCCCATTTCCTAAATAAGTAAATTTTAAAACAATTTTCAGTGTTTTACATTATTTCAAATGTGACTGTTAAAATCATCATCATATCAAAAAATGTAATCATTAGAGATTCAATTTACACATGCAAGAGTTACCTCAAAGACAAGAAAAACAAAAGTCAAAAATATTTTCAAATAAAAACCACAATTTCAACACAACAGGCGTTTTGGAATCAAACAGCTGTAAGTTTAAACCCAACTATAAGTTTGTGATTTCTTGGATCTATGAGCTTGTATCTTCATTATTCCAATAACTCCAGCACTCAGAATACTTAGTGCCTGGCATTCAGTAGTTCAATATTTGGTATGTAAATAATAATAAATAGATTTGGTATCTTCTCTGAGCTCCTTTTTCCCCATATGAAAAGCATGGCAATATCACTGTTAATTTTTATAGTACTGTGAGGAGAACTGATGGACAATGTATCTGACAGTGCCTTTTACTGCCCCAATGTGGAACACCAAAATAAGTGGAGAGCAGAGTTTATAAAGAATTACAAAATATGTCTAAGGCCATAATACCCTGAATGTGCCCAATGACGTCTAATCTCAGAAAAATTATAAAATATAATATACATAAGCAAACTATTTGAAGCAACCACTTCCATTAATAGAATTTGAGACATAAAGCTAAAACCAAATCATTTAAATGACTGAAAAGAATGGCTGCAACAAGAACAATGAAGTGTGACTTGGGGGGTGGAAAAAGAGAAAAGCAGGCTGGTAAGTACCCTGCCAAATTTTATTTTCTCAGAAAGGGAAATATTTACAATAATTAATATATTTAATGCAAGCACACCAAAACAATAATCTTCTAAGATCAAAACTATCTATGTTACAACAAAGTATTTTACAATTTTTTGTGGGCTTTTACAAAATATCCCTCCTCCATTAATTATGTTTATAAAATACTAATCATAAGGAAAATATTGTAAAATAAGTTTCCCAGCATTAAAACAGATCTGAAGAACATTTTAGGAATATTCCATAATCTATTCATTTCTCATTTCTTTACTAGAAGTTTTCTTTTAATTCAAGTCGTATTTGAGTCTATTTCCTTACTCTTTCCGCTATTATGATTTCGGTCACCTCAAAGTAACCCAGGAATCAAGCTTTTAGAAGACATTTACAATACACATAAGTAGAAAATATCTCTAATGATTATCCTACAATGGTCCAAAGGTTGACAAAATATAAGTAAAACATTTTTATTTAATTTACACACATCCAAAAAAAAACCACTTTAGCTCAGTAGTCAAAGACTATATTTAATATCTTTAGCACAAGCACACCAACACAACCATTTGGTCTACAATTGTAAGTTTAAATCTAAGGCTCCCAGGTAGATTTTATGAAAGAATTCCCTTAATCATTTTTAAATTTCAAAATGTGCAGATCTCTAGGCCGACAAGTGGGCAATCTTTGTAGCGTCTGCCCAGATCCAAAAGAATGCAGCTGGCAGTTGCCTCCCTTTCATCTTTTCTTAGAGCAGGTGTTAATAAGTTCAAGGTCACAAGCTGAATTATGAATGGATTGGATAACTTTGTTCAGAGGGTAATTCAAAGTCACAGAAGATATCCCCTAGCTCCAGCTAATAAATGTATACCAGTCATTCATTCATTATCACTGATAGGAAAAATAACTCAAGATGAACTACTGATTGTGCGTCAGAGGCATTTTGTGTAAAAGATCACATGGTGCACTCTGGCATCTAAAAATTTTATTTGTTACCAACACATTACATTGACAAGAGTTTTAAACTACTGTTGCTGCTGCTTTTTAAGGCCTGGCAACTATAAAAATTGGATGGTGATCCAAAACAGCCACTTTCTAAAAAAGAAGAGGAAGAGGAGGGTGAAAAGAGAAATTACTTCGAAAATTCTTAATAAAACTTACAGGAAGTCTTTGTTCTTAACTGGTTAAAACTACTTTTAGGGGGGAGGGGACGACTTTTACATTGTAAACATCTAACAAATGAAATACAGAAATGTTTCTACATTGAGTCAAGTCTTTTGGCTGCTTCTGACTCCCCCTTCAAACATTTGCCAACAGAATAGAGAACTATGAGACACTCAGCTATGAGCCTTCTTTTGTTCAAACAACAAATCACTAATTTAATCTAGTGACCCTCTACTGCTGGAGCCTAAACATCTTAATCTAAAAAAAGATGAACTGCTAATAAGCAAGTCACTCATAAATCGATTTATGTAAATTAAAATCCTATTTTTCTAATACCATCATCCCTCTTTTTTCTTTTTTTTTAAAGACATAGTCTTGCTTTGTCACTCAGGCAGGAGTACAGTAGTAATCATTGCTCACTGCAGCCTTGACCTCCTAGGCTCAAGGGATCCTCCCACCTCAGCCTCCAAAAGTGCTGGGGATTTCAGGCATAAGCACCAGATCTGGCTAATTTTTAAAAAAAAAATTTTATAGAGATGGGGTCTTCCTATGTTACCTAGGCTGTTCTCAAACTCCTGGCCTCAAGCAATCCTCGACCTCAGCCTCCCAAAGTGCTGGGTTATAGGCACAAGCCACCACTCCCAGCCAACCATCCCTCTTTTTTTCTTTTTCTTTTTAAAAGTCGTACAGCCTTTCCTCAATTAAAACAATTGTATTCCATCACTCTGTGGCTTCCCCACTTCTACAAGCACACTGGCTCAAATGTAGCCAGCTCAGTATCATATAAGACATTCCAAACTATCTCATTACAGAAAATTAAAGCATTAAAAACTAAACATGGTTGTTTCTTATGGTTACTAGAAAAGCCAAAGCATGAATTCAGATAACCCAAAATAATTCTGCCCTAAACACTGGCTTAAATTGTTTATGAAGAAAGCAAAACATTAAAGTGTAGTACTGGTAATCTCCTAAACCAGATGTTCTTAAATTAGTACAGGATACATCAGTGGGCCCATAGACCCTGGTCCTTTCAGAGGTACTTTGGGGTTCCATAAATGTGTGGTTGCATTTCATTTTCAAAATGTTATTTATACTTGAAAAGCTGTGACAATGTCTCTGTCACATTTATGAACATGTAATGGAAAACAGCTTACACACTCAAGTATGCTAAAAATCAAATGTAAACACATCAGTTAAAGCTGCCAGGCCATGTTGATTTTATGCAGACCTAGGAGCAAAGTTTTTTTCAAAAATCTCTGCTTCTTGTAAACATGTCACTGACTAGGAAGGCTGCAGCTCTGCACTAAACTTTTATAAAACTCAGGTTTTCATATAGCTGCTCACATAAAATTATACTTAGGAATAGAGGTTATCTGTAGAAAATAATGATTTCCTCAATAGTGTGCAATCAAAATAAAACATGAAAGTAAATAAAAAGCTGCAACTGTGATTATAAAGGCATCCATAACCCAACTACACATTTGAGCATTAATGTTCTCAATTTAAAAGAAAATTGCATTAATAAAACAAGTGTACACTAAAAAAGGATCACTTATCTGTGATTTTTTACTATAGAGAAAAAAGTTCAATTATTAAAAAAGAAAGTCTGAATAGTCAAATAATAAATTCAAAGATTCTGAATTTTCTTCTATACAGTAATAATCAATAGGACCAAAGGACTCTAAAATCTCTATGGCCATTGTTTCTAGATTACAATTTTCACAGAACCTTTCATACAGCAATCATAGAAATTCTTTTTGATTTTGAAGTTCAGAAAAGTAAGTGTCTTCAGTCAATTGTCTCTTTACTTTCAGTTACTATTCCAATTATATCCACTTATTTACCATATTAGGATTTGTAAGTACTCCTTTGCAGAATGGCATTGTTCTTAACTTACCAAACTGGTAAAAAAGAAAAATTATACGTAAGTTAAACAACGTCTGACATATATATTAAAATACCTGAATCTGGAAAAGATGTCTCTTAAAGAAGGTTAAAAAGAAATAAAAATTATTAAAGTATACATAAAATAACAGTCATCTTTCATAGGACTTTCAGTGTGCCTAAGGTACTCTTCCTCGGATTTTTCCATAGAAATAACCATAACAAAATAGCCATGAACTTCCATATTCTGATAATACAGACTTAAGCAAACCAGGCAAGGAATAAAAAACTTATTTTTAACATTTTCTCTTAAAAATTCTGGTAAGTTCTGTGTTGTACTTTAAAATATATATTCATTTTTTATTTAAACATCTTAAAGAATGCATTCTCGCTAAGAGATAGTTTAGTAAAACTAGAACTCCAGAAAGATACACCATTTTCATTCCAAGGCTATGACCTGATACCAGTGGCTACTAGCATCCAGTACGAGACACACAGACCAAAGTCTTACAGACTCCAATGTACTTGTATTTCCATTTGCAGTAATTAAAACACATTTTTTCCCAGTCTATTCAAGAACAAAATTTATTCTTCCTTGGATGAATAACTCACATTTTCATGTTTCATATGTTTAAGTAACCGCAGTTCTCTGTAGGTCCTTTTGGCATGAATGATGGACTGAAATGGTCTGGATAGCTTCTTCACTGCTACACGTAACCCAGTTTTTGTGTCAAAAGCAGAACTAAGAGGAAAAGAAAAACAAACAAAAAACTCACCATTAAAAGTGTTCCAAATACCATTTTTGAGTATTTACAAGACTATTTCATTTCCAAGTTAAATAAGTTTATAACAAAATTTTAAAAAGTATAAAGATAAAAACCAAAATGACCTATAATCCCACTATCCAAATAAAGCTTGTTACTATTCTATTTTTCCTTCTTATCTTTTATATGCATCTAAATTTGGAGTCAGCAAATTTTTTCTGTAAAGGGCCATATAGTAATATTTTAGACTTTGCAAGTCCTAAAGTATCTGTCCTAACTACTCAACTCTGTGATTGTAGCAGGAAAGCAGCCAGATAAGAAGTTTTAAAATGGCTGTAGCTGTATTCTTTTTTTTTAGTTGAAGTCTTACTCCATCGCCCAGGCTGGAGTGCAGAGGCATGCTCACGGCCATCCCAGCATCAACCTGCTGAGCTCTAGCAATCCTTCTGCCTCAGTCTAACAAGTAGTCGGAACTTCAGGCATGTGATACCATGCCCGGCTAATTTTTTGATTTATTGTAGAGGCGAGGTCTCGTCAAGTTGCCCTGGCAGTTCTCAAAGCAATCCCTTCAGGTAATCTTCTCACCTTGGTCTCCCAAAGTGCTGGGATTACAGGCTTGAGCCACTGTGTCTGGCCTGGTATGGCTGTATTCTAATAAAATGTACAAAAACAGGTAGCCATAGAATCTAGAAGAGTCAACAGACTGATAAACAGAGTTGGGTTCTGTTATCTTCCCTTCCTAGGCCGCATTGTCGCCTTCCCAGCATATGCTGCCCCAAACCATGTTTTCAGGACGAGTTGGCTCAAATATACTCTAGCTAGGCTGTCTGAGGAAGTATATTTGAGGTGAGAACCAAAAAAGGTAATGATTAAATTCACTACATTAAGACATAAGGAAAAAGAGCTTCGAGCAGAAGAAATAATGGCAATATTAACATTTATTGAATCTTTACTGCATACAAGGAACTATTTTAAGCCCCTTAATCAATTTTTCTTAGCTTACTTAAATACCCCAGTACCTGCTGTGAAATAAGTACTGCTGACATTCCATTTATAAATAAGGAAACTGAACAGAGAGGTTAAGTAACTTGAAAACCATCACACGGCTAAAAAGTTTTTCCCTTTCTACTGAATCATTCTCATCTGCATAAATATGCTCTAGTTATCTCCTATCTTCAACAAACAAAAGACTTCCCTTGATGGCTCTCCATCCCAATTAAAATTCTCAAAAAAAGAAAAAAAAAATCTATACCAAGAGGTTCTCAAAGCAGCAACATCATTTTCACCAGAGAGTTGATAAGAAATGCAAATTCTGTTGAGTGTGATGGCTCATGCCTGTGTAATACCAGCACTTTGGGAGGCCGAGGTGGAAATATCACTGGAGCCCAGGAGTTTGAGACCAGCCTGGACAACACAGTGAGACCTCATCTCTACTAAAACAAACAAACAAATAAATAAATAAGCCAGGGCAACTTGGCGAGACCTCATCTCTACAATAAATTATGGTGGCACGTGCCAGTAGTCCCAGCTACTCAGGAGACTGAGGCAAGATTGCCTGAGCCCAGGAAGTCAAGGCTGCCATGAGCCTGGGCGACACCAGCCTGAGTGACAGAAGAGACCTTGCCTCAAAAAAGAAAAAGAAATACAACTTCTAAGGTACCACCCCATTGCCACTGAATAGGAAACTTGAAGTAGGTCTAGCAATCTGTATTTTATCAAGCCCTCTGTGTAATTCTAGTACATACTAAGGCTTAAGGACCACTAATCTATGCCTCTGCGACTCAAAATGTGTTCCATGGACCAGCAGCATTGGCATTATCTAGAGCTTATTAGAAATTCAGTATCTTAGGCCGGGCACAGTGGCTCAAGCCTGTAATCCCAGCACTTTGGGAGACCGAGGCAAAAGGACTGCCTGAGCCCAGGGGTTTGAGACCAGCCTGGGCAACTTGGTGAGACCTCGTCTCTACAATAAATTAGCCGGGCATAGTGGTGCATGCCTGTAGTTCCAGCTACTTGGGAGGTTGAGGCAGAAGGATCCTGATCCTGACCCTGAGCCTGAGCCTGAGCCCAGCAGGTCGAGGCTGCGGTGGCTGTAAGCATGCCACTGGATGCCAGCCTAGGCGACACAGTGAGACTCGAACTCAAAAACAACAACAACAACAAAAGAAACTTAGTACCTTGGCCCTAAAGAAGACTCTACAGTTGGACAAGAGCTCCAGGTGATTTATATACCTCTTAAAGTTTGAGAAGCACAGATCTACATAACTGGCTCATGACCTCAACTCTCATTCTTACTTCAATCCATTCCGCTTCTCAAAGTCATTAATGACCTCTATTACCAAATCCAGGATGCTTTTTTTTTGTTAGTCACTGACCTGGTTACTACTTCCTCTTTCTCGAAACACTCTCTATCCTGGAGTCTACATCAAACTTCTACTGGTTTTCTATGGCTTCTCTGCAGGTCCATCTCTGTCTCCATTGCATGTACTTCCTCTACTCAAGCTCTATGTGTTGGAGTTCTTCAGGGTATGGTACTGGCCCTTGTTTCTCCTCTCTCCCACATTCTTCTTCTAGATAATACCATCAGTGCCCATGATTTTAAATTAAATGCCATCTATATATTGAAAACTCCCAAATTTATGTCTCTTACTGAGATCTCTTCTCCAAGCCCTATCTGATATCTTCATATGAAAGACACATAAGCATCTTAAATTTAGCAAGTTTAAAACCCCAGAACTAGTCTGCTGCTTCTGCTATCTCAGTAAATGGACTGCCCATCCAGTTGCTCAAGTCGGATATTTGACTGTTATCCTTGATTTCTCCCACACACCCCACCCCATCCCCATTCAAATCTATCAGCAAGTCCTGTGGTTTCCACTTCTACATCTACATCTCAAACTCAACTTCTCTTCATTTCACCACTACCATATTAGTCCATGTCATCCCCCCTCATCACCAGCCTGCTTTCCTACACTGGTCTTCCTGCCTCCTGTTTCGCCCTCTTCTAATATGCTCTCCACATGTATCCAATACAATTTATTTTAAAATACAAAATAGTTTATATTTTAAAAACACATTAAATTTACACCATTCCCTTGCTTCAAACTCTTTAAGAAATGTCCTTGCCATATAGGATAAAATGCAAATTTCTTATGATGGCCTACAAGGCCGAAGTGAGTTGTCCACCACTGATCATTCCATCCTGCTCCTGTGATACTTCTCCCTTCCCTCTCAACCACCATGTTCATGTTCTAAACGTGCTGGCTCCTTTCAGTTCCTTTAATTATTCAGATAGATTGCTCCTGGTTCCCAGGATCCCCCCCCCATCCCATCCTGTCCTATAGCTAAATCCTTATGCTTTTAAGTATTGGCTTAGTCAACTTCTCACAGATGCCCCAAGCACCTCTCTGCCATACCTTCACTGACTCTCCTTCCTTACCCCACATAAGAGAAGCGGTTCTCTTCTCTCTTCTTTTCTCTCTTGCTCTTACAAACACACAGACACTCTCCCTCTTAAAAGTAGCAAGTAAATTTATACTCTTCTCTAAACTCAGTTCTCTAAACTGGCTCTGGTGAGGTTGGGAAAATGGTCACTGCTCCTCTGTAACCCAGCTTCTTCAACTCCCCACCTCAGAGTCTGCCTGCCACCTATAGCCACCTATAGTGCTTCCTCCTCTGCACTAGTGTACCTACAGGAAAGCAAGGAATGCCTGCAGTTTTCTGCCTATGACTGAGTGTGCAAGTTCAATACACTGGGGAAGAAATAAGAACCCACTTGAATTGTCCAGTCAAGTCATTCTCCATGCTACCTTTACTAGTAATAAAGTACATATCTTTACCTCTATTTGACTCCTGAATCTATTAAGCAAAAGGCAAGCTAGAATTAATCAGTACCTTATAGACTCCAACAATCACAATTTATTATTTTATGTTTATTTACCATCCAACAGAGTGGTTAAATAAGAGCTGGAGATTTGAAATTAGACTAGCTGGACTTTAACTTCAGTTCTGCCACTTAAGAGCTACAGAATCTTGAGGAAGTTAATTAAATTCTTTCAGCCTCATATATGAAATGAGTATAATGTTTATATCTAATCTGTGTAGTGTGTTTGTTAGGGTCAAATGTGATAACTTTTATGATGGGTTTGGCAAGGAGCCTGGTCCATGATAAAGCTCAAATATTAAGCATTCATATCTGCTTTTCCCACTTGCCCTAAGTATCTTGAGGGGAGGAAGGAAGTGTGTTTTATTCACCACTATATTACATAGAACTCAGCACAATGCCTGGCACATGGTACATTCTGAATAAATACTTAACAAAAGCAAAACACATATTTTATAATGTAACTATCTCAAAATTTTAAGAAAAAAATTTCAACCATATAATTTGGCTCTCAGTTTTTATGAACTTCATAGCATACAGTAAGGAATGGATATTAATGGTAAAAGTTAACATTTACTGAGTACTTACTGCTAAGCACAGTTTTAAAATCTTTACATATATGTACATCTTTAATTATCACAATACTTTCTGAGAAGACATTTTTGTAATTCCCATTTTAAAGATGAGCAAACTGAGGCACAAAGAAGTTAAGTGATGTGCCCAGAATATAGACAGAAAATGGCAGAGCTGGGATTCAGATCCAGTTAGTGTGTTTCCAGCAAGAACTCTCAATCACTATACCATAATGAACAAGCAAGTTCAACTTTGCTAACAGTTCAGTCCATTAAAAAATATATTCTACTTGTATGAATTCTGCTTCTTTTTAAAAATGCTACCACTATAATTAATTGCACTTCATAAGGAAAAGGATTTCCCTGTGATCTTACACTGAACTCAGGATAGTATTAATGAAAAGTACTTCATAAGAAAGAACTTTGATTCTATATATATAACTTTATTAAAGGTTAGTTTTCAATCCCTAAAGTTTTACTATCTCCTGTAAATCTAAACACTAAAAAGAGTCAATGATGTGGT